CTGTCTACACTAGCAGAAGTGTCTACACCTGTAGTTAGACACCAATGAGTGTGATCTCTAGTGTAGATGAGCCTAAGCTGAGACTGAATCTTCCAAAATAAATTCTTCTTTTCTCTCTGATGTTCAAATCCCATTGAAATGTATGGCAAACCTCCAATTCAGTTCACATATCCCCATTGCATTCTCATTCAACTACTGAAATTTGACTAAAATCTTTTGGTAGCTCATTTGCAGGCTGGCATGCAGGTAAAGCAACTCACATCTTTTGTGCGTCCCCATGACAACTTTTATTTCTGCAGCATTACCCACCACATTCACAGCAGAGCTCTCTGCTCATCATCGTTCATATTCCAGCACTTTTCACTGCTTTCATGGCCTTAATTACTTACTGTCTGACTTACTCAATTATCTCCTACTTGGTAACAGGTTAAGCCAAAGTCAGCTTTCATGCCATTTTAAATGATCCCAGAAAAGTTGGAAAATCAGCCGCATTGATGCACTCTTATTCCCCCCCTCCCCTTTTCATGGTTTAATTTCAGTTCTGTTTTTGAATGTTGGATGCTGTAACTTCAGACGAGGCACAGCTGGCAAAAGCTGAACTTCAGTGAACAGCCAATCATGTCTTTATAGGAAGGATGTGCAGTTTTGCAATGTTAAAAAGAAATAAAACACTCTGGCTGCCCCATGCAAAGTGATTTAGGCTGCAGTTTGGTTCGACGTGACTAATGTCACTCAGGGGTGTGAAAAAGCCACCCCCTGCGTGACTCTAGTTACACTGACCGAAGCACCAGTATGGACAATGCTATGTTCAGCCAACATAGCTACTGCTGCTTGGTAGGAGAGGATTCATTCATTTGACGGGAGAACTCTCTCAGTTGGCTTAGAGTCGGACATTCTCAAACTGTGGTCCCCGAGCTCCATTCAGCTGGTGTATGGATAGGTCCTCAAAGGTGACCACCTGGGCAGCTGCAAACGAGAAAATGAAGGGCTGCCCACCTAATTAGGGGCTCACAGGCATGGCTCCATTAAGAAGGGGTCTGGACCTTCACAAGTAAACTGAGGAGGTGGCCTTAGAGAGGGCTAGATGGGAGGAAGCAGTGAGATGAGGTGGGGGGAAAAGGAGGTAGGCGGGGAGGCAGTGGGGGTGAGGAGAGGGGAGCGGAGAATTTGAGGCATGCCGGGCTGTGGTGGACTGAGGGAGAAGTGACTTTCTCGAGCTCCAAGGCTGTGGCTGCTGAGGTAGAGGAGAGTCCCCCAGCAATATTGAAATATGAATTGTGTGTTTTTATTTGTAGAAAAAAAAATGTTAATTATTATTAAGGGATTTTATAACACTTTCATCCAAAGCACTTTACAATAGATCATGCAAGGTGCAAACAACGGTCCGCCAAGGTTAGCTCCTGATAGGTCCCCACCACTGTATTTACCTGCACAGCCACAGGTGCCAGTGATCGCAGCTCCCATTGGTCATGAATCGTCGTTCCCAGCCAATGGGAGCGGTGAAAAGCGGTGTTCCAGTGTGTGCTGCTTCCTGCCACTCCCATTGGCCGGGAATGGTGATCTGTGGCCAATGGGAGCTACGATCACTGGTACCTGCGGCTGTGCAGGTAAACATAGCGGTGGCCTGCCAAGGGCTAACCCGGATGAACTGCTGCCATGTTATTGTCCACCCCTTGTTTAGAACATCCGCACGAGCTGCACTACAATAGCATGGTTGCATCGGTGCTGCTGTGACACTTTAAACTCTCTAGTATAGTCATAGCCTTGGTGGTCTTAGTGTCAGCTCCTATGGAGAAGGTTTCCACAGACCAAAACACCCAGGACACTGACTGGCAGGATTACCAGAGAGGAAAAGAACTAGCTCGGTCTAGCCTTTCACCCGTAGATAAGATCCTGTCAGTCCAGCAATACAGTTGCAATCAGATGGTCTTGTGGTTAAGTCATGGGACTGGGATTTAGGAGGTCTGGATTCCTGACTCTTCCACAGAATAACTATGGGCAAATCACTTGACTTCTCTGTGCCTCAGTTCCCCACTGGTAGAATGGGGTAAATCGTATTTCCCTGCCTCTTGCTGGCACTGTGACACTAAATCCCTTGGCAGTTGTGACGTGCTCAGGTACTATGGTGATGAGGGCATACAAATGATAATGAGTACACTGGAGAGACAGTTTGATTAACATAACGGGACATTGCACGGTAGCAGCTCTCACTTTACCTGGTCTGCAAACTTCAGTCTCCAGCATTGTCAGTCCTGAGCTGAGATGCACTTCTCCAACCTCCCCCAGCACTGGCCAAGATGCTCACCTACCAATCCATGAGAAGTGAACACGTCAGCCAGGCTTTCTGTGACTATAGGATCTGCTCCCATTCCCTCATCTTTGTGTGTCCTCTGGGTGGCCTTCGCTGGTTCCTTGGACTCTTTCACTGTGAAGTGGGCACAGTCTGAGGCTCTCTGCTTAGAGTCCCCATTCAGTATCCTCATGTTGAACCTTGTTATCATTTGTGGTCCCATGGAATCAACTCTTTCCTGGGATCAAGGGCCCATAATTCACTCAAAGGGTAGGCTTTTGTCCTAAGTGTACTCAGGGGCATCCTCAATGCATTCATGTAGGCCTGAGCTGAGAATGTCTTAGGAGGATAGGGTCATAATTCAAAATGATCTGGACAAACTGGAGAAATGGTCTGAGGTAAATAGGATGAAGTTTAATAAAGACAAATGCAAAATACTCCACTTAGGAAAGAACAATCCGTTTGGGAAGTGACTGTCTAGGATGGTGTCCTGCAAAAAGGGATCTAGGGGTCATAGTGGACCACAAGCTAAATATGAATCAACAGTGTGACACTGTTGCAAAAAAGCCAACATGATTCTGGGATGCATTAACAGGGGAGTTGTGAGCAAGACATAAGAAGTCATTCTTTAGCTCTACTCTGCACTGATTAGGCCTCAGTTATAGTATTGTGTCCAGTTCTTGGCACCACATTTCAAGAAAGATGTGGAGAAATTGGAGAAGGTCCAGAGAGGAGCAACAAGAATGGTGAAAGATCTAGAGAACATGAGCTATGAGGGAAGACTGAAAGAATGGGGCTTGTTTAGTTTAGAAAGTAGAAGACTGAGAGGGGACATGATAGTAGTTTTCAAGTATCTAAAAGGATGTTACAAAGCGTAGGGAGGAAAAATTGCTCTCCTTGGCCTCTAATGAGAGGAAAAGGATCAATGGGCTTAAATTGCAGCAAGGGAGGAGTAGGCTGGACATTAGAAAAACTTCCTAACTGTCAGGGTGGTTAAACGCTGGAATAAATTGCCTAGGGAGGTTGTGGAATCTCCATCTCTGGAGATATTTGAGAGCAGGTTGGATAGACTTCTGCCAGGGATGGTCTCGGTGGTGCTTGGTCCTGCCATGAGGGCAGGGGTCTGGACTCAATGACCTCTCTAGATCCCTTCCAGCTCTAGTGTTCTATGATTCTATATCTTGCCATGCACCAATCAAGGAGGGAAGCTTAATAGGGAAGTTCCATGTGGTGATGAGTTGTGTTTCTAGTCCTTTGGACATGTAGAGGTACTCTAGGTGGTGACCACTGATTCCTGGGGTCCGTAATGGGCCACCTACGGCTCATGCAGCCCATCAGTGTTCTATGTGTGGCCCGCAATACATTTTGCAACATGCAGGGTTGTTAGATTTCCACTGGTTTCCAGCTGTATCGATTTTTTTCCCCTGCTGATATTATTAAAGTGCATGGACAGAGGGTGAAGGCCTGAATGGGGAAGGCAAGCCAAAGCTCTGGGTCTTCTGCCCAAAGCCACACCCCTTTCCCTGATGCCACACCCCTTCAACAAGCTGTCCCCCAGCCAAGCCCCGCCCAACCCCAGCAGAAGGCCAAGGCTGCCACGCCACGGTCCCAGCCCTCCCCGGGTGGCTGGACAGTGTAGGCAATTTTGGGAATGCAATTTGCCTTTCCTTGCCTACATTACCTGCTGCCCATGCTAAAGTGAAACGCACATAAAGCCAGAACACATGAAGTAAGGGGCATGCTGAGTGCACACAACACTGACTGTGAGAGCCGTGCAAGGGCACCATTTTGGGAGAGCAGGAGGGTCAGCAGCCGTGAGTACTGAAACGCAGCTTGCTTTTTTTCCCATTCCCCTGACTATCAGGGAACGAGGGGAAAGTACTTGTATTCCGTGAATCACACCTCTGCCGCCTCCTTCACCGGCCAGAAGTGAGAGGCTGCACGGAAGCCGTGTACTTTCCCCTCACTCCCTGATAGTCAGGGGAATGGGAAGAAAAACAAGCCGTGTGCTGGTACGCATGGCTGCTCCCCCTCTCCCGACCTCCCGAAACGGTGCCCTTGGAGCCACGTGTTCCCTTTGCATCCAATCCAAGTGCTGCTACGGTTCAGTCAGCACAGCCTGCAAATTCTAGGTACATCAGCGCAGGTAACAAAACTGCCCTGTCCCAGGAGATCGTCTTGGTTAGGACAAGCTTGCAGCCCACTGAGATGAAGGAAGGCCACTCACTCGCCAAGGTTGCCCACCACTTGCTTGGGTTCTGTCTTAGAGCAGTGTGTATTGTCCAAGGTTCTCTGTTTGCCTTCTGCTACCCTTATTTTCCCCCATGACCTGCATCCCTGCCCTTCACTCAGTGGATACCTGGATTCTGTTCCTACCCCGAAAGAGACAGGCTTTCTGCTATGTTTGGTTCCACCCACCGATCCTAGTCATCCAATAGGTCTGAACCTTCCACTTCATTTCTCTTTAAACCGTACACCGCTATCAACCAGTTTTCCAAGGGTTTCCATTTGGCTTTGTGGTATGAACAATATGGACTGGGCATGATTCTGAGCTATTTGAGGGGTGGGGTGCTGACGGGAAGGAAAGCGAGTGATGCATCCAGTATGATGCTTTGCATCTTTTCCTTTCAAACGAGCTAGCCAAATATTTCATTCAGTCAGTCTGCCAGCCCCAGCTCCTTGCTAATCATGGTTTCCCATTCTTCCACAGGTGCCCAACTCCTGGATGTGATGGTTCTGGTCACATAACAGGAAATTATGCATCACATAGGAGGTAAGATTTTCACTGAAATTATTTTTGTTCCATGGCCTCTTTTTATTTTTTTCCCTCTGCAATGGGCAGAGTTGTAAAGTTCTGAATAAAACATTAATGCTACTGACAACCGAAGCCTATTTTCGTCTCTTTAATCTGACTTTTTTTTTTTGATGTTTCCAGCATTTGATTAGCTGCTCTCTTCAGCAGAATAAAAGACAAAGGGTCAGATTTTAGCTGATGCAATGTTCCTGTTAATAATGCTGCCTATTTATGACTTCTATTATGACTTTAGAACATTAATAGAAGAGATCTAAGACTTCTGTTTCAACAATTCCATTAAACATTGCAGTCTGTTAGTAGATATCTTCTTATCTAGACACCGTTAATTACTAGCCATCTCCCTCAAAATGTGCTTTTCTTTTCCTCCTCACTTCTCCTCATGATGGGAGGCTCTGAAATGAGCAAGATCAAAACACTATGGTAAATTCAAGGGAAAGATGAGTGAGGCAGGGGAGTATTAGAAGCGGTAATTCTGCCAATGAGACGGGCCTTTCTTCTCTTTTTAAACATAGTCTGTCAGGCTGCCCCCGTGCCAAGAAAAGTGGCATCAAGATAACCCCCACGAAAGATGACAAAGAAGACCCGGAGCTGATGAAGTAAGTCCCGAGGCAGTTCCTGAGTAGATCCTTTCAGGATCTGGAAACTGAACAATTTCATTAAGTCATGCAGCATTACACAGATTTACTGACGCGTGTAACTTTACACCATCCATTGATGTCAATGCTAATTCTCTCTGTGCCTAATATTAAGCATGTGCATAAGTCTTTGCATGATCAGGACCTTAATTTGAAGAGGGGAGGAGAGGGGCAGAAAATGTAAAGTATTTTCCATTTTTCCCGATTATTCTTCCCCATGATTCAAAATGCTTTTGAAATTTGAAGAATTTTGGCTAATTTTAGAGCCGGCAAAAAAACGCGGGGGGAGGGGGTGAATTTGTGCTCAATTTTGTGCTCGATTTTTCCCACTTATTGTCCCGATTTGAAGTGCACTACATTTTTCACCAGCTCAATTTATTAATTTCCTGCCACTCGTTCTCTTAATGCATTGGGAAAACGTGGCTGTTGTTTGACTGGGCAGAAACTCTAAGGCTATGTCTACACATCAGCGTTATTTTGGAATAACCGACGTTACTCCAAAATAACATAGTCCGCGGCTACACATAACCAGTTCTTTTGACTTAATGTCGAAATAATGTCGAGCTGGAGGAGTGCTTACTCTGACTCCACTAACCCTCATTGTATGAAGAGTAAGGGAAGCAGGGGAAAGAGGATCTGTCTCGAAATAACTGCAAAATAGACAGCGCCAAAAGTCAAAATAAGCAATTTCAACTTAAGCTACGCAATTAGCATCGCTCAAGTTGTGTAGCTTAGTTCGGGTTTAGCTCTGCTGTGTAGACATGCCCTAAGTGTTCTAGACTTCCGCCTTCGCAATGAGCAATCCACTGGTGATGCTGAGTTTCCTCAATTCCCGTTGATGATCATGGGAATTGAGAGCTGGCAGCATCTCATAGGATCAGGCCCATGACAATATTTACTCGGACTTAATGCTACCCGTGCGGCCGTAAGGATCTCACATGGTTCTGCAGCTCTGTGCTGATTGAGCCACAAGTGGCCTGTGAGCCACGAATTGAGAAGCACTGCCATAGAGTCTCTGGCTGAGATTTTCAAAGCACGTAGGGGATTGAAGAATGGAGATTCGAAATCCCTTAGGCCACTTTGGAAAATCTCAGGGTATGTCTACACTACCCCGCTAGTTCGAACTAGCGGGGTAATGTATGCATACCGCACTTGCTAATGAAGCCCGGGATTTGAATTTCCCGGGCTTCATTAGCGTAAGCGGGGAGC